TATCACCTATCACCCAAGTCACCTCGCTCACCTGTCACCTCATCACCTAAATCACCTATCACCTATCACCTATCACCTATCACCTCTATCACCTCATCACCCAGGTTACCTGATCACCTGAATCACCTATCACCTATCACCTCTATCACCTCATCACCCAGGTTACCTTATCACCTGAATCACCTATCACCTATCACCTATCACCTGTAAAACCTATATCACCCACATCACCTGCCAACAAGGATAATCAAGTACTCCACTAACGTTTCTGCCCAATATCATCCTCTATTCATCATTTTCTTGTATTTTTCTTTATTTCAACATTTCATCGATAGTTTCTTTTTATTTCTAGCTATCTAGATTCAGTCTACAGCCCTTCTTTTGCTATAGTATGTTGTTGTAAGAATACCCTTGTTTTCTGATGGATCTCTTTCGATTAATGTTTTTGTTTTCAGCACAATACAATGTTTGTATCTTTATCTACTCTATGCTATATTCAGTTGGCTTCTTGCAACAACGCCACGCCGTTTACAACTGCTCGACACAAATTTCGTTTATTTCGTTGAGCATAGCTTGTTTTCTCATTTTCTAAAACAAATTCAATATTTTTCTACATAATATATAATTAAAATATATAAAATATAATATATAATACTTATAAAACTTATAAAACGTGTAATGAATTCATGCAATATTCAAATAGTTGGTCGAATCGTTGATGAAGAAAGTGTTTGCCTTTGCGTAGCTGTTTTTCTTTTCTCCGCTTCAGATTTCTACAAACATCCTACTTTTTTCAAGTTTATCTTTTTCTTTTTCTTTATCTTCATCTTTTTCTTATTTTATGCTTTTCTGCTTTTTATTCACTTGCTTATTCTCTTACAAACTCAGCGACAAACGACAAAGAATTCTATCTGCCAAGCACAGAGCTATCCTACTACAGGCTGTTACTTTCAATATGCTACTTGGGTTGGAAGTGTTGGGTCGTGCTGGAATCTGGTTGGACTTGTGCTTGACTTGTATTCCTCCATGCAACAAACAAGTTCATCCCTTTGACTTATGACTTTTTTGCTCTTTCTTTGTTTCAATTATTCTTTCATCAACGAATATGTCTTATAATTCATTTTGTTATAATTCGGTTTGTCTTTCTTTAACACTGCTCGTTCGCTGGCTGTTTCCTTTCATATCTACTTGCGACACCCACTGTACTCACTCACCTACTGTATTGACAAAATTGCGAATATCTCTACATCTAGCGAATGAAATCCATTCAAAAGCACTTTGTTGAGTTTGAATATTTTTATTTCATTGATTTAAATAAAGAAAATATTATTTCATGAACGAGCTGGATACACGCTTTGAAACATGTCTGAATATACATTATTTATTCATACAAACAATAGAAAAACAAAAATTTTTTTTTGAATATTTTCACTTTATTTTTTTATTTTTTTTATTTATTTACTAATTTTTTGACTTTTGTTTATTTACTTATATACTACGCTATATATCATTATTATGTATAGTAGACGCTTGCGTGTAGTCCTATTCCACTTATCGTATTCGGCTTGCGAGTCTTTATGG